AGCTTCCTGCAGGAGAGTGGCCGCATCCTGCGCCACTGGCGGATGGAGGCGGGGAGCTGCGCGACCCTAAACCCTTTGTGACCCTCGAAACCCATTTAAACCCACTAATTTAGAGGGTTTAGTAAACCTATTTAAACCCTATATAGGCCCTATAAAGCGTCTAAACCCTGTAAACCCTATAAACCCTCTAATGACCCTCTAAGCCCTCTAAACCCTTTAAACCCTCTGAACCCTCTAAACCCTATAAGCCCTATCAACCCTCTAAACCCTTTAAACCCCTATAAGCCCTATAAACCGTCTAAACCCTGTAAACCCTCTAAACCCTATAAGCCAACCCTTTAAACCCTCTAAACCCATGTAAACTCTCTAAACCCATTTAAACCCTCTAAACCCCGTAAACCCGCTCTGTTTACTATCTTCATTCGCGCGGGCTCCAGAAAACCTAAACTTGAGATCTGTCTCAAGGCTCAGCTTTTACAGCCAAGGTCATGATGTCATGGGAGGTCGGTCACCTCAATTTTAGGTGACTTTCGGGTACAAACTTATTAACTTATGGACCTTAACAAATAGTAGAAGCGGAACAGTAGAAGCAGACGAGACCGTGACAGCCAAAAAAAAGTACAAGCGGACGAGACCGTGACAGCCAACAAAAACAGTAGAAGCGGATGAGACCGTGACAGCCACAAACAGTAGAAGCGCACGAGACCGTGACAGCCAAGAAAACAGAGGAGCGGACGAGACCGTTACAGCCAAAATCCGTAGAAGCTGACGAGACCGTGACAGCCAACAAAAAGTAGAAGCGGACGAGACCGTGACAGCCAAAATCCGTAGAAGCGGATGAGACCGTGACAACCAAAAAAACAGTAGAAGCGGACGAGACCGTGACAGCCAAAAGCCGTAGAAGCGGGCGAGACCATGACAACCAAAAAACACAGTAAAAGCGGACGAGACCGTGACAACCAAGGGTCGTAGAAGCGGACGAGACCGTGACAGCCAAGAAAACAGAGGAGCGGACGAGACCGTTACAGCCAAAATCCGTAGAAGCTGACGAGACCGTGACAGCCACAAAAACAGTAGAAGCGCACGAGACCGTGACAGGCAAGAACCGTAGAAGCGGACGAGACCGTGACAGCCAAAAAAGCAGCAGAAGCGGACAAGACCGTGACAGCCACAAACCGTAGAAGCGGACGAGACCGTGATAGCCAAAAAAGCAGTAGAAGCGTACGAGACCGTGACAACCCAAAACAGTAGAGGTGGACGAGACCGTGACAACCAAAATCTCAGTAGAAGAATATGCAGGCACCTGAGACTCTTCTGGGGCCTGTGGCCTCTGTGAATCCTTCCGGGCACAATCTTGCATGCTCGGAATCTCAAGCCCTAAACTTTGAACCGTGGGCCCTCAAGGAAAGCTGAAACTGTCTAGGTCCCAGAGTAGTATCGTTTTGCTTTGGTCCTCCGTATTAATCGGTGTACGGGAAAATGGTCCTCCTTATTCCTTGCGGGGTCCCTTAATTAAGGGAGCCTATCCGGTCCTAAACCTTTTTAAAGCCGAAATCCTAAGCCCTCGAAGATCTCGAAGGGAAAAGCTGAACTGTTCAGGACTTAAATTTAGGGGCTTGGGGTTAAAATCACCTTAAACCCTAAACCCTAAACCCTAAACCCTAAACCCTAAACCCTAAACCCTAAACCCTAAACCCTAAACCCTAAACCCTAAGCTGTGAGCAGGTCGAGCCCCAAGTGGACAACGAGGGCATGGCTGTTCTTGGCTCGGCCTTGGGTTTGCTGGAGACCGTGACCCTGGACTACCTCGATGTGGACACAGATCCTCAGGTTGAGAGGTTTGGGGTTTAGGGTTTAGGGGTTTAGGATTTAGGGTTTAGGGTTTAGGGTCTAGGGTCTAGGGTCTAGGGTTTGGGTTTTAAGGTTTAGGGTTTAGGGTTTTTGTGAACGTTGAAAAGACCCTAAAGGGACACAGATCCTGGGGTTGAGAGGTTTAGGGTTTAGGGCTCAGCGTGTAGGGCCTTGGGGGGATGTCATTTTTTCAGAGATCCTGTTTTAAACCCCTCAGCCCTAAACCTTCGCCCTCGCTTCTCCAGAGGGCTTGAAGAGCCAAGGATCCCACTGAGAGTTTCCAGCCTGGTCATCCTTACCGCCTCTTGGTTTCAAGACCTGAGAGGATCCCTTCATGGGGGGAGACTTTGCACGACCCACAGGGTTTAGGGTTTGGGGCTTGGGGTTAGATAAATTCCCAGCAGAAAGCTGACTTTCTGCTACATAGGGTTTTTGCAGTTTGAGCCAGGGTTGGGGGTTCAGAGTTTGGGGTCAAGCAGTAGCAGCCGAGTCAGCGGAGTGTCAACATGAGGCATCCGAGCATCGTCTGCTTCTGGCCACTACGACGTCTCCGTGCAGTATACGGAGAGCCTCGGCAGCACGCCATAATCACACTGCAACACACTGCAACCCTCGACCCTGAACCGAAAACCCTAATAATTCTACGCCTGGAGGCTGCAAGCGGTTCCGGCAATGGACCTCGCTGGTGCACTGAGCCATTTCCAAGTGACAAGCCTGTCCTCCGCTTGCACCATGGACGAGGTGGAGAAGCACCCGGGCCGAATGCTGAGAACGATTTACTCTTCCATCTCAAGTCGAAAGCTCGCTGGGTTTCGAGGGTTTTTGGTTTACGGTTTGGCTTCAAGGTCTTACTCCTGAACCTTGAACCTTTAAACGCACCTATCCTCAAAAGATGCACCACCAGGACGATTGATAATCCTGCCGCGCTCGTGCTTGCGAAGGAGCCGTGTCACTGAAGCTTAGCCCAGTCCCTTCATTCAGGAGGTTTTCTCGGTCCCTTTCTTTGGTTTCGGTTAAAGGCTTTCAATGGCAGGTGTATTCATGAAGGGGTTCGTCGGCAAGGCTGAAAGCTTGCTTCGATTGCTGGTCGCGGTATATGTGCCACAACAAGTCGAACACAGTGGATGTTGTTTGTTGGACATTTTTCCTCTGCGGCCAGAGGGTTGACTCGGGCGAACTGCAGCATTGCAGGACATCGAAGCGCTTGGCGTGACACCGTCGCCAAAGGCGCTTCTACCTGGAACACGGACATGCAGGGCCCCAGCCCCCCTCTATTTCTGTCAGATGAAGAGCGGATCTCCGTACAGAACTATCTCCCTCTTTCGCTTTCTCGCTCTCTCCAAAGAATTTCGGTAACATTAGCCTTATAGGTCTTATGTCACAGGCGCAGCGCCCAAGTCCCTTCACCAGAGGTGCCCCGAATCGAGCCCTTTGCCGAGTGGCCCGCAGTGCTGAAGTGGCACTCCGACCAGTTCATGGCAATGCTCAGCGCTGGCGAAGCCTCGATCTCCAGCATGCCGCCCTACTGGACCAACATCCTCTTCAACGCGACCTGGCCTGGGAATAAGAATAATGTTCTCGAGCCCCCCAACCCGCACCCCACCCCCTAACATCCCCTTACCCTACTAAAGAGCCTATAAACCCAACTCAGGGGTTAACCATATAGGCGCGAAAGCTGACTCAGGCAGACCACCAAGACCGCCTCTCGGAGCTGCACGCGGCGGCTGCGGTTGGAGAAATTCCCCAGCAGCTCGACTTCCACGGCGTGAGCGCCCGCATCGAGGCCAGCACATCAAACAAAGCCTTAAATCCCCCCCCCAAATCTCTATGAAATCTACCCTCGTCTTTCGTATCTCCAGTTGTGCAGCCGAGGTCATGGGTCGTACGTTTTGTGTAAGCCCTCTTCACTCAAAGTAGCGTCCACACTTTTCCACCCCTCAGTGCTCATCCCTCAGACGTCTTGAGCTCGAGCCTAAAGCCGAAATCGGTAGCGCAGTAGGACCGGACAAGCCCTCCAAATCTGCAACCCACAACCCTCAAGCTTAGGCCCAGCAGCACTCTGCTCTCCGGTACAGTTGTTGTTGAACACAGCCGCCACAAAACACACGCTTGTGCCCTGCTGAGGTCGAGCAGTCCAGCAGCTCAGCAAGCCTTCCTGGTGGCCTCAGGTCCATCAAAGCAGTGGTGACGGGCGAGTTCAAGCTGAAGCAGTTCAGCATGGGCGTGGGTGAGATCAGCCGGGAGGTGGAGATCAGCGAGGACGATCGCACCGACGGCTACGCGGTGGCGTGCGACACCCGGGAGATGCAGCCGTACCTATCCGTGTACAGCATGCCCATGTGGATCTCGGCATGCCTCATCGAGGAGTTTGACTACATTGAGTTCAAGTTCCTTGCTTTCCCGAAGTCTCTGCCGCCCCTCAGCTCCCACGTCATGGCCTCGGCTTCCCGGAAGCTGGGAATGCCCAACGTCGGATCCGGCACCCGACGCCTATGCTCGGAGGACGACTGCAGCAACGTCCCCAAGATGAATTTGGAGATGATGTCACGCTGAGCATCGCTCTGCACGGCGCTAGCGCCGCCTGAGGTGGCTAAAGTCCCGGGGCGATTCTTCTTTTTTACGCTCAGAAGACAAGTCTCCTAAAATTTTCAACTGGCCTCTTATGGGCCTAGTTTACGACTTTTTGTGTTTAGCTTTCGATCTTATTTCTCGGCCCGCCGAGAGTGGGGACCAATTGGCTCCCACAAAAAGCACTCGTACCAGCACTTTTGCAGCCCGCGCGACTCACAGAGCTGCTGGTGCGCGTGAGGTTGAGGGTTTTCGGGTTTATGAGCTCATTCTGGAAGGGTTCTGGCCCACATTCGATCGTTTGTTGCAGACTTTTCAGCTAAGGGTCCGATAAGATCCTTCTGCCAGAGGTATAACCCTGCTTTGTCTTGCCGCTCGCAAGCCTTCGTCAGGTGCACAGAGGCCTTCTATACTGGTTCTGCTTGGAGGTTCATGGTACTTCTTAACCACTTATAACTGTACGTATTCACCAATTATAACTGTACCTATAACTGTACTTATAACCATACTGGTTCTAGAGTCCCTTCTTCAGTTTGCTGCAGTTGCTGTTGTCTCGTCTCCTGAAGAGCGGTGTCACGCAGGCGACATCCGCTGGCCCGTGGTCACTTTCTGTGGACTGCCAGAGGTCAGAGCCTCAGGGTTTAGGTTTAGGGTACTGGTTTAGGGTTTAGGTTTCTGATGGGCTTTCGTGGTTTCAGGTTTTCTGGGTTTGGGATCGAGCTTCGAAACCTCAAGCCTGCTTTTTTGCCATGTGTCCAAGGTCCTTTCCAGGGTCCAGCCTCATTTCTGCTCTTCGCGCCGTCGACCACTCTATCGTAAGCAGTAGTCCTCTGCTAGAGTAAACTTCGTCGTAGTAGTAGTGGTGGTGGTAGTGGTAGTAGTAGTAGTAGTAGCAGTAGCAGTAGCAGTAGCAGTAGCAGTAGGAGTAGTAGTAGTAGTAGTAGTAGTAGTAGTAGTAGTAGTAGTAGTAGTTGTAGTAGTAGTGGTAGTAGTAGTAGTAGCAGCAGCAGCAGTAGCAGTAGCAGCAGCAGCAGCAGCAGCAGCAGGAGGAGGAGGAGGAGGAGGAGGAGGAGGAGGAGGAGGAGGAGGAGGAGGAGGAGGAGGAGGAGGAGGAGTAGATCTTGGATTGAGAAGCAGCAGCCCAAAATATCTTTTTTGGAAAGCAAGATATCCGCAGCGCAGCCCCGACTCCCACACTAGGTCCCAGACGCTTGAAGCAAAGCCAGGGCCCCGACGCTGGAAGCTTCAGCTGCTACGTTGTGCGCGGGCGCCCAGCGCCTTCTTCCAAGCTTACTACTTAAGGTATCTTGCTCGTAGCTGGGTAACATTTTACATATTTGAGGGTACATAAACCGTCTTAAACCCAGTAAAGAATGTACATTCAGTCTTTTAAATACTATATCCCAACCATGAACTAGGTATAGGCTAACAGTATAGAGCAATCTTCCTATAGCTTCTGAATCCCCGCGAGGCCGAAGATCCAGGGTGGTTGCAGAGAAGGGAGGACCGACGCGAATCTTGTTGCCATGATATCTGCTGCTGAGCCTGAGGCTGGGTCACGGTTCCGTTTGGATACACAGGTGCTGCTTTGCACCTTGCTGTATGAGGACGGAGAGCCTGAAAACTCGTCCTGCAGCCTTTTTGGCCAGAGCACTCCCGCACTCCCGCATTGCCTCGACCCGCCCTCAGGAAGTTGTCCGGATGGCAGGTTTAAAAACCTTGGCGCTTGGCTTGTCATCATGCAAACTTTGCTTGCGGCTTGTCATGCTGATTGTGGCGGTCGCCGCTTACTTCGTCATGAAGGGCTCCGACGACATCGGCATTGCACTTCGCGAGGGTGAAGATGTGAACTTCAACTCGACTTGCTTCATCTTTCGGCAAGAGCGGAACTCCACTTTCGCTTGGGATGTGGACTTGGAAGTTGAGGCGGAGTTTGGGATCCCAAACTCCACGTTTGCAAACTCCAGCGTCCTTGAGGAAAACTGTGGATTCAGGGGAAGTCCATCATGGGGTGCGCAAGGGTCCATGGAGCACCTGCTTGAAGAAACCGACGTAGGAGGCTACTTAGTTTATGCAGTGGCAGCAGTTGCCCTTACATTGGTGGTTGATGGATGCCTGTTGGGTGCAAAAGCTGGCGGGATTATTGAGTCCATCGTGGCAGGGGCCAAGGAAGCATCCGAAGGCGATGCTGAAGGTTGCATCGGAGCCTGCGCCAACTGTTTCCAGTGTTGTCTGGGGAGAATCTCCTTGATGATCTTTTCTGGGACGATAAAGGTGTTCACGCTCGTGATTCCGTATGTCATGTTCAAGCCTTTCAGCAACATCAAGTACGAGGACGACTACATGTGGATGCGGTTCCCAGCAGGATATGCCTATCTGTCAGTTTCCCTCCTCCCAGGAGTGCCTTTCGTTGGAGTGGCCTTCGCTTGTGCACTCTTTTGCGGTCTTGGCCGTGGTGGAGCTTGTGGGGTACTTTGCGGTGGCATATTTGGGCTAGCAGGCTTGCTTGCCACGATGATGCTCTTCATCCTTGCTTTCTTCACCTTCCTTCAGGATGGCTTCGTCTTCTTCATCAACTTCCGTGTGATCTTTAGTTTCAGCTTCGGGATCAGCTTTGCCATTTACGTGGACATGTTGCAGCTCATCCTTGGAATCACGGCCTTGATGGACATGCTCTCTGGCGTCATGAACGTCGTCGCGCTGTTGAAGACATGTTGCGGTGGAGAAGATGACGACAGCCGAGTGTAGTCCGTCGGCGCCATCTGTGAACAAAAGTTCTGAGCCTTTGTTTCAAGAGCGCAGTTAACAACACGCGCAGTGGGAATAGGAAATCCGTCTATGCTTGGATTGGCTGCGGCTATCATCTGCTTGCGAAGTGTCAGGATGAGACGCGCGTTGAAAACAAAGGCTGCTTTTTTGTTTAATCAGTGCCATCTCCTCGCATTTTCCTCTGACGAGCCTCCCCAACATGTGGCAGGATCGTTGGATGTGCAACGTGCTGGCACGTGAGCAGACATTCACATTTCTCCGCAATGGCTGCAGAAATCAGAGCATGTCCGTCTCCATGCTAAGTAAGCTCTCATGTCCGTGTGAGCATCAATGGTGTATCGGGATGGCGCCAATTCCTCCCACTGCCGTCGTGCAAGGAGTTCCACTTCTCCATCTTCAGAGTTTGCGTCCGTGCCCAAGTATCCAGCATGAGGAGCAGGCCTTTCGCCAGCTAGCCCCAGGCTACCAGGCTAGCCCCAACTCAGTTTACACAACGCTTTTAGCTCATACGTTTTGACCCTGCACCTCTCCAGGCCAGAAGACCTGAGTCGGGTGACACTTTAGGGTTCTGGGTGCGCAATACGGCCACGTCCTCATAAGACCCTGTCGACAGTTGCGTGATGCGAACTCCCACAAAGCTGGAGCCGCAACCCTCCACTTATCTATATCCCCCTTGGGAATTATTTTTTCTTTTGTTTATTTAGTGGCTACCGCCAATGCTATAGGGTTTACACAAACACCCCCTACATTGCGTTTACATATATCCATAGGTTCTAGAGTTCAGGGGGGGCGAAACATTGAGTCTTCATGCGCAGGGAGTTGGCGCGCAACCTTAAACCCTAAACCCTGAACCCTTAAACCCCAAACTACTAAACCCTCAACCCCCTTAACCAGGAGAGCCGAACCGGGGTGAGGTGGGGGGTAAGTGGTGACGGGGTCAGGGTAGGGGTGAGGTGGGGGGTAAGGGGGGAGGGCGGGGGGGGGGGGGGGGGGGGGGGGGGGGGCCAAGGTTGGGGGCGAAGGGGTGAGAAGCGGGGGGCGGGGTGGGCGGGGGGGTGGGCATGCACTGGAGCCCCTAAAACACTTCATTTGCAAGTAAAAGGGAGGTGGGGGGGCATGCGCTGGAGCCCCTAAGAGGGTAAGGGTGAGGTCGAGGGTGAGGGGGGGGGGGGGTTGGGCATGAGGGCAAATGGGTCTTCACTGACGCCTCCCCCGCTAAAGCAGGGGTCGGCGGATTTAAGCCCAAGAGGATATTAAAATCATGATTTTTATTAAGGTTCTAAGGGGAGTATAGTTTTCACCCTCAACTTCCCAGATCCATCTAAGACCACCCCTCCCCCGAACCCGAAGCCTCAACCCTCCACAAGATTCGATTCCCATGAGGCCCGTTTAAATCTACCCTTTCCTAAACGGTTTCGGGTTTAGGGCTTAGGAGGCTTTTTGGGGGGGTTTAGCAGGGATTAGGGTTTACGGTTTCGGGTTAAGTTAAGGGCGTCAGTGGTTCCACGTTCGCGGAGGGCCACGTGTGCCAGATTCAGGTTGCGCCTGAAAGACATGGCTTATTCTAAACCCTAAACCCAAAACTAAGCCCGGACGTGCTTCTGATGAGCTTCTGGGGTCTTGGGCCACTTCACGACTCCCGGCTTCAGTCTACAGGCCACCTCCCATGGACTCCGCGCAGAGGCACGTTGTTGTGAGGTTGAGGCTCAAAGGTTTGAGGGTTTATATATACCCCGAGGCCAATACCCTATCCCTTGTTTTGCGCAACTACTTTTAGGGTGGAGATTGTTTTGTATACCGAAACAGACTAAGCAAATAGTTACCCAATAATTAGAAGGGGTAGGGTTCCAGCCTCCAGGTAGGTAGGGATAGCGCAGTCACTAGCCCCCTCCCACCCAGACCGCCTCCTTCTCCTGGCCTCCTCCCCCTCCCTACCCCGCCAGAGTTTGTACCCTTGGTCCGGGAGGCGCGTCATGGAGGGCTTGGGGCTACGGCTTAGGGTTGAAGGGATGACGGTCTAAAGGCTTCAGGATCTAAGGTGTAGGGTCTGCAGGGCCAAGAAAAGTCACTTTAAAGGTGTTGGGCGTTCTTGCCTCTTTTCCTCATGTATGATTGTCCTGAATCCTAAGCCCTAAACCAGTATGTGTCCCAGTTAGGGGTAACCATGTACTACAGGGCCAGGTTGAGCCATTTGCGAAAAGCAGGTTTGCGCTCCACCCGATTGCCTGCCGTTGCATGACGGTCGGAAACATTGATGGACATGTTCCAACCCAAAGCCATCCAAGCCTACACCCCAAACCCTAAACCCTAAACCCTTGGCGCAGCCCCGGAACCGGCTGGAAAGAGCCGTCGCGAGAGCGAACTTGAAATGACTTAGCCCGTGAATTGATTGTGATTTAATGTGAATCCCTACACCTTAATCCCGAAACCCTATAAGCTCCAAGCCCGAAGCCCTAAACCCTAAACCCCAAGGCACAAGCTAAACCCTTGTGAAATCTGCCCTGTCTCTGACACGTTATTGGGATTTCCCTCCAAGGCCCCCTCCAGGAGGGGCCAAGCGACCAAGCGGAAGGGTTCCTAAGTCGTAACCAGGAAACCTGCACGCCGGAGCCAGATGCGCGGCTCATGTGGGGCTTAGCCCCCAAACTTCTTCGCCCGTGACTGCGCGAGGATGCCTCGGGTTTAGGGTTTAGGGTTTTAGGGTTTAGGGTTTAGGGTTTTAGGGTTTAGGGTTTAGAGGGTGTAGGGTTTAGATCGTTTAGGGTTTAGGGTCTTGGGGGCCCGCAGAAACTGCTGAGAAATTGTTTGCAATTTTTTGTGTTTTGTTTGGGGGGGGGGGGGGGGCCCCCTCCCGCCCCGTGTCAAACCCAAAGCTCTCAGACCTGCGATCCGTTTGTTTGTATAGGGTCCAGGTTTCACTTGAAGGTAGTGTCAAGTATAGCGAGTTCAGTATTCCCAAGGAAAGATGATGGCCGGCTAGAACGACAGCCACCCTACGTATCACCCCTCTGTGAGAACTACACCCCTAAACCCTACACGCCAAAGGGGTGTTGAGTGTAGGAACGCCAGGCAGCAGAGTTTGTCCCTCAGGCGGTCAGGGAGGCGCGTCATGGAGGGCTTGGGGCTACGGCTTAGGGTTGAAGGGATGACGGTCTAAAGGCTTCAGGATCTAAGGTGTAGGGTCTGCAGGGCCTAGAAAAGTCACTTTAAAGGTGTTGGGCGTTCTTGCCTCTTTTCAGTATGTGTCCCAGTTAGGGGTAATCGTGTACTGGGCCAGGTTGAGCCATTGGCGAAAAGCAGCGAAAAAAACAACCCAAAGCCTACACCCCAAACCCTAAACCCTAAACCCTAAACCCTCGGCGCAGCCCCGGAACTGGCTGGAAAGAGCCGTCGCGAGAGCGAGCTTGAGAATGACTTAGCCGGTGATTTGATTTCGCTTGATTCAAGAAATGAGGGTTGTGATTTAATGTGAATCCCTACACCTTGATCCCTGAACCCTAAGCTCCTTTGTCTTCCAGCAACACACAGGTTTGCATGACTTTCTGGAATCAGATGATGCGAAGCGTCATGCATGGGGGGGTGTCAACACAACCCGAGCGAGAGCACTATTTGTGTTGTGGGTGTGTATGCTGACATTGAAGGCAACCCACGTCTCTCCTCGGAGGACATGTGGTAAGCCAATATCCGCCACTGCCCGTGGCTCAAGAACGAGCTCCGGCTCGACAAATCCTTACTCCGTAAAGAGCGAGAGCTTAGGAGTAGATCCTACTTGGCATATCACCGGGAGACCATATTGCAACAGTCAGTCCTGCCTGCAACACTGGAAGATCTTTCTAGCCTAAGCGGAAAACAAGGGAGCGAGCGATTGCACCGTGTTCAAGCGGAGGGACCAGAATCAACCGTTGGATCCTGTGGGATCCAACCTGCCTCCACGCAATACCAAGCTACACCCTAAACCCCAAACCCAAACCCCTCAACAATTGACCCCGCAAGAAGGACTCCTCGATCTCGGACGTGGAAACGGCCCACGTCCACAGCTCCAAACACCTGCGGTTTTCCGAGGTGCGCTTCCATGACTACTTGGTAGGTAGCATTGGTAGCCCAGTGGTACCCTTTACCTTTTCTTTGTCATGGGTTCCCTTGTAAGATAGCCAGCCCAAAAAAGGGGTGCCCTTATTGTAGTATGGTTACTGGGCTTCCATGACTAGGATTCGCGCAAGGAACCGTAGGGGGCGAGGACTTCATGTTTTCAGGCTTTGGTTTGCACTGGACGTCAGGACCAGATGCATTCCATCCTCCAAAACGTGCGACCAGAACGGCAGGCAGAGCTATCACACATGACACGTTAGGCTCGTAGACTTGCAGGATGGACGAGTAACAAGTCGCAAGGTTCCACGGCCAAATACGTAGACTTCTGATGATGGCGCGTGGTAGCTACATGGACGCGGGCTTCAATCACTTTTCTTGGTCTCGAAATTATTGTCGGACACGGCGCAAGCAGCCCCCGCTATAGAACGGGTCCGGATTTCGGCAGCTCGGCCTGTCTGGATTCAAATTTGGGTTCTTGTTGGCATGTCTTGGCCATGTGTGAGGCCCCTCTAGCCCTGATTTCCAAAGCGCCACGCAGATCTGGATCTCTGCAAACATGCCGGCCGGCATTGAGCAGCTTGCCAACTCGCCTGTGCGAATCTCACCGCTCCGCCTGCACTGAGACCCTCAAGGCTGCAGGGTTTAGGCTTGAGGTTGAAGGTTGAGCCTTGACACCTCAACCCTACACTCTGCAGCATATTCAGTTAGGGGCTCTTAAACATCGGTGGGTGGGTGGGGGGAGGTCGAGTTCGACCTGTCAAGCTCAAGCCCCAAAACCCGAAACCAGTAAACACTTCGCCCCGGCAGCCGGGCCGGCCCCAGGACAGGAAAGGAGAAAGGCGGGTTTCCGCAAAAAAAGGGGAGGGGTGGGCGGGGCGGGGGGGGGGGTGGGGTACTCGGGATCCAGTCAGAGAACCTTTCGAGCTGTTTTGAAGTTGAAGCCCCAGAGCATTCTTGAAGATGGATCAGAGTCCAGAAAAATTGCAAGATTCCGCGCTAGTGACGCGCTAGCTACGCGCTAGTGGTTAATTGACAACCTTTGCTTTTGCCAGCAGATCCCCAGTAGGCTTGTGCAGGCGGACATGAGGCATTGTAAGGCTCTAGCTAGCTCACAGGTGGGGTGCAGTCATTGAAGAGCGCTTGAGCTTAAGGGTCACAAGGGCCTTCTGATACCCGACGCCCAACCCTTCCCATACCCAAGCCTTTAAACCTTCGCCCTCTCTTGCGTTTCCCTGCAGAATTTTAGCGGAATAGGTCCGCGTACGTGGTGTTTGCTGAGGCATCACTACACTTCATGCTTTGCGATCACGCGGGGTGTCCGTTCTGTCTTGCCCATGAGGAGGGGTCCGAATGAGCACAAATGAACGGCCACCTTCAGGCAAAAACATGTAGACAGCTGCCCAAATAGCCTCGATGGACAGAAATGTCCGGAACAAAACTTCGAAGTTGCAAAAACATGCCTGTGACAAAATGGGGCTTTATTTAAAGACAAAGGAGAGAATGAAAGAGAGAATGAGAAAGATAATGAGAGAGAGAGACTGGAGAGCGAGAGGGATGAGAGAGACAGAAACAGACCATAGAGGGGGAGAGAGAGATGAGAGAGAGAGAGAGAGAGAGAGACGGAACACACACACACACACACAGACAGACAGACAGACAGACAGACAGACAGACAGACAGACAGACAGACAGAAAGACACACAGACACACAGACACACAGACACACAGACACACAGACACACAGACACACAGACACACAGACACACAGACAGACAGACAGACAGAGGGTCCCTGCACCATAGAATCAATCGACGCCAGAGCGAATGTTAACCCCGCCCCAACTCCATTCCCAAGCGTTCAGGATTTGGAGGTTCGGGTTTAGGGCTAGTTTAGGGTTTAGGGTTGCTTTTGGTCTTAGAGTTTAGGATTTAAGCATGGACAATTCTCAGCCAGTTTAGACAAGTAGAGGAACTACTAAGTCAGCAAATGCATCCACTGCTCAGGCCGGTGAATTGGATGAGCCGTCGCTTCTTAAGTTCAGCTGCCATCGACCACGCCGAAAAGAGTGTCAGGGTGCCGCAGTTCACCTCTCAACATTATTTCTTTCTACTCCACCTCTTTCTTCACTTTACTCCAGTGTTTCTTTCATGTTCTGAAAGTTTATTCTGAACTTGGTATAGAAAAAACTCAAGAGAACATCGTAAACTTTGAATTAAATGATGTAAACTCGATAAAGTATTTATTGGGTACCACAGTTATCGAGATGGTTGTCTTTATGGTTCTACTTTCCAGGATTCTGGTGGACCACGCCTCCCCCCACGTCCCTCAAATTTGTCAAGAGTCACGTGAGTTTGCGCGCAAGAGGTAGGGTTTAGGGTCTAGACTGGGGGTCTGGTTAAGGGTCTCGACAGGGCCCCACAAAAAGCGCGGCTAGGCAAGGCTCCAGACTCAATGCCATGACCCACTCGTGGCAGGTTCAGCCAAGGATGACTAGGACGGGTATGTCTCGGAGCGGACCCTTTGTAGAACAAAAGCGACCCGTTTCGACATGACACATTGAAGGCTTCGGCTCTTTGTAGGTTTAGGGTGCTTGGGGGGCTCTGTCTTGCAACACGTCGCTCGCGCCGCCATCTGGGCGGCTTCGGCCCCTCAAGCCTGTCAAAGCCCCGCGCTTTAGACCCTTCAGGTGTGGCATTCAGGTCTGTGAGACCACCGAAGCTCGGTAGGCCTTTGGGACATTTCACATCTTCCCTTATTGGGTTTCAGAGGATCATGTTCAAAAATGTGTAGGGTTTTTAAGGGCCATCCTGGGAAGGAACTACTTCCATGTCTAGCCACTTCGGGCGCATGGTGACCACAATCCCTGAAAAAGAGATCCGGTCTAAGCGAAAGCCTCCTCTGTTGTAGCTTTTGTAGGTTCCTTCAGAATCCTACAAAGGACTTGCCCTTCCCCACTCGAAACATGTTTGAAACACAAATACAAAAGGCCAGCGAATCAGTGGGACCAAACTGGTCTTCCTGTGTCCCGCCTGTTCGCCGCCATGGGGCTGACAACTGAAGCCACGGCCCAGCGACTGCTACAACAGCTCCTCAATGAGAAGCACGACGAGGTCTCGTTGGAGTGTCTTTTGTTGTCACACATGTGGTTAGTGCACTCCATACAGATTGAGCATGCCCAGGATTGCTTCTGCCGTGGCCCACATTGCTTTCCGGTGTATATTAGATTTGTTGGAGTTCGTCTTGTTGGGGCCTTGGGAGACGAAACGTTTTTTCCATGAGCCCTGAACCCTGAACCCTGAACCCTGAACCCTGAACCCTGAACCCTGAACCCTGAACCCTGAACCCTGAACCCTGAACCCTGAACCCTGAACCCTGAACCCCAACCCAAAGCCGCGCAGGACGAAGGTGGAGATTTCCAACCAGGTGCCCTCGCGCCGAGGCCCCCTCGCAGCCAGGGAATCTCTTCGAGGTTTGGGAGTTTAGCGTTCAGGGTTTAGGGAAGGCTCGGTTTGGGAGGGGGGGGGGGGGGCAGGCTGGTGACATTTATTGAGCTGTGGGTATCGTTGCAACGCTGGTGTCCAGGGCCCCGTCATCATTCGCTCCATCTGGGCATTGCCGCAATGACGATAACCCCTTCCCTACGATAACCCCTTCCCTGTGAATGACCGAAATCCCAACGAGAGTTGCTTAAACCCTTAAACCTGGAGAAGGTATAGCTCAACGGCTTAGGGTTTCGGGGCTAAGATTTTAGGGTTTTGTCTGGGAGGAAGGCCCCCCTAAAAACCCGACACCCATGCTTGTCCAACACCTGGTTTGGGAGTGTCCAAAGCTGCAGCAAGGTATGATCCTCCCATCGGCGATGCTCCTGACAGCCCTGATGGCTGGAGGGGAGAAGCCTCACTGCAAGCCAGAAAACACAAGACCCTGAACTGTAGACTTTAGGGTTCAGGGTTTTGTGTGGAGCCTCTACATAAACTTTTGAGCCATGAGCCACCCTGCCAAGGCAGTTTTCGCGGAGAGCGGTTTCGATTGTGGTGACAAGCTTAGGGGTTTCGGGGTTTAGGTTCACGACAGTTTGTAAGCCCGCGAGGCCCTCGAAGCCCATCAGGCTGGGATGGAAGACTCTAAACCCGAAGGGCCCCCTGAACCCCCCAACACACCCAAAACCCCCAACACCCCGGGACCCTAAACCCCCACCTCCCCAAAGCCCCTGAAGCCCCTAAACCGCTTCAAGCCCTCAAAAAGACGAAGGCTTCGATGTCCTGGGAGCACTTCTGGGAGCATGCGGACTCTCCGCCAGCGAGCCCAGGCACCGGTTTTCCGGGTTTTGGGTTTGGGGTTTAGGGTTGAGGGTTTGGGGGAGGGAAAAAAGGGGAGGGAGGGAGCTTCACAGTTGCTTCTACTTCTCGTGCATGCTTCTGAAACCGCAAGCCCTAAACCCACAGAGCCCGCAGGAGTTGCTGGGTTCGTATCTTTCAAAGCACCCCTTGCCCCACGACCCCACCTTAGCAGCTCCCAACCCACACGAAGGCCGAAAGCAGGGCTTAATTTCAGGGCTATGGGTTCGGAGGAAGGTGGGGGTCGAAGCCCCCCTGAAATCCTAAATCTCAGAACCGCAGGGTCCACGCCCCTCACAGACGTGAGAACAGGCAGCCTGGCTAAGGGGCCTAGAGGCCTAGAGAAATACCGTGGAACGGAATTCCGGATGCTGCCAAACCTCTCAGTACCGTGGAAACTCCTCGCAAGTACCGTGGAAACGAAATTCCACACGCTCCAAAACCTCGCAAATGCCGTGGAAGCGGAATTCCCGACATTCGACGACCTCGCAAATATCGTTGAACTCTACTTTCGGATGCGCGGCCAATCTCTGAACGAACTAATTATCACACCCTGTACCCTCTAATTTGGCTCTTCGTGATGCAGCCCCAAAACCCGAAACTCGAAGCTGGGGTTTTTGATTGTCGGGCTTTGGGGCTCACTTGAAGCTTCATGGGTAGGTCGAAGAGGAAGCTTATCTGTACCTTCAAAAGTCATCCAGCTGGGTTTAGGGTTCAGGGTTCTGCTGCTATCCGCCCTAAGCCATGAATCCTACGCCCCTCAACAGCCCGCAAGAGTACCGCAGAGGGTTTCAGAGGTCTGCAGGTTTCAGAAAGGTTCAGGGTTTGGCGTCTTAGAGGTTTAGGGTTCATGGTCTTACTTCTATTTCCCCTCAAAAAATGAAAGAGTATACTTTCTATACTGCCCTTATAAGGAAGACTATTGTCTTTTTGGCTGGGGGGGTTGAGGGATCTTAAGCAAAGAGTAGCTTAGGGGGGGAAGGGGTTCGGGCCTTTTGGGTTGTTCCAGGACTTCGGCCGAGTGCAGCCCTTGGCGACTCACCGTCGCAGCCGTCGCTTGGCCTTCGGCACCCCCCGCTTTTTTGACTCATGATATGATCCAGTAAGTCTTCCCCCCCAAAAGAAACTAGAGGCGTCAACCCTAAGCCCTGTTTCGTTTTGCCCGTCTCGGTTTCTGTATCTTCGGTTCTGGGATGCCTTCGGAGCCTTCAGCCCTTAAACCAACCTGAAAACCCTTGGAGCTTACGCTTGCGACGCTGGTACTCGCACGCCACTACACGAGTAGTATGTGGCTCTGAGGCTCCAAAAGGGGCTCCACAAAGGGATCCAGGGTTCCCAGGTTCTACTTGTAGAAGGCTCACCTCTCGAATCTCATTGACAGATCGATGTCCCCTGCCCCGGGAGTGCGTGTAGCGTGCTTCCGGCTGAAAAGCACGTCAAGGATACGCGCTCTTGAACGCTTGGGAAAAGTCTCCTGTTGTTTAGTCTTCTTGACTGCTTCCTTGGCTTTGGGGTGTTTCCGGCAAATCAATAGTAAGTAAGTTTGTGGCACCCAGCACTCGTGTCCAAAGTGCCTTCAGGTCTCACCCGCAGACGTCTGAGGACAGTGTCGAAGGGATGCAGACCAGGTCCAGGCCTGAGCTTTCCTCGCAACGCAGCGATCGTGGAGCCCCCACTGGCGTCTGCAGTCCTGGCAAGCACGTGATTGGCCCAGGCAGGAGACCTTGCTTCACTCGATTGCTGCTCACATCACAAGCGTTGAGCGGCAGATCTGCAAGCTCCAATGTCAGAGTCTTGCCAGCACTAGCCTTAGCCACAATAGCTGATAGCTGATTCCGAAGGAGCTTGGGAAATGCCAATGCTGTGGGAGAGTTCTTTTGGTTGGAAGTAGAATTGGCTGCGGAGCCGCGTCTGCTCCCTCATCTGTACTTCATCAGCTACACGACATCTGCAGACTGTCTGAACAGGATGAAAAGACTGAAGAGAATCACACAAAGCGCGCACACACACACACACACACACACACCACACACTCTGGAGCCCGCCGGCACTAAGCTAAGCGAAACACGCGGCAAAAGCCTTAGATAGTAAGACGAGCAATGGAAAGACACAGGAGAGAGATTTCAATCAAGAAAGGTGAAAACAACCATGCGAACTCGAACAACCAGAAAACGTAGACACCATCGGAAGACGTGCTCATCTTCAGAGCAACGCCTAAAATCCTCTTGGGCACTCTCGTTCCCTAGCCTTGCGCGGCCTTCCCAGGCGCACTCTGAAGAACTGAGACTGGAATTGAGATGAGTTGGGGATTGAGCATTGGGGAGCAGACTCCAGCGCGCTCAGAACTGCCTTAAGGTATGAGGCCACCGGTGCGAAGGCGCAGCGCAAGGTGAGGAGAAAGCGCTTTCTCACACCTTGCTCCACAAGCCCAAAGACTGCTCGGAAGAAGCGGAAGGTTCAGGAGACCTTGTCTCCAGAACGGCTGCTCAGCCTAACTTCAGAGACAGCCCTCAGTAGGCACGCTCAGGGGGACCTTGTGGATTCGGAGGGCCAGTCACACTTGGTGAGTCCGACCTTTTCTACAGGGAAGGCTGTTGTGAACCGAGGTGCATTCGCCAGGACGACCCTGTGCGGCAGAATCTCAACTGCGTGTTCTTCGACATCACGGATGAGGAGGATCGGGACCAGCAGGAGCCGGAGTCTTGGGTTTTGTCAGGGGACAAGGGTCGAGGGTTCAGGGTTGGGGGCTCAGGGTTTACAGCAAGGGCTCAGGGTTGAGGTGTCTAGAGCGAAGAAAGGCGAGTTGGAGAATGCATCTTCGGGCCGGGGGGGGGGACGGACCAAGGAACGCTTCAGTGGTGCGAGCCCAGCAGGGGGGTCGGCGGATAGGATGCAGCGGCCAAATCAAAACCTACGTTCTTGAGGCATGGCATGTGGCCAGTCATACTTATAGTCTTCCTATGGTTTTACGTAATATGTAACGCCGAAGACTCCCCTGCGAACCCCAGCGAGGCGCTGGGGGGGGGGGGGGGCCTTGCAGCAGTCAGACCATGCACGCACCGGCTCACTGGGGCTTTCGCCTTGCTCTTGCGCTTGGGCTGTTGGCAGTCTCGGACGTCAGGGAGGACGTGTGCAGCCAAGGTCCATGAAGGATGAGTCTCGGACGACGGCCTGCAGGGCCATGGACACCGAGATTCTGGATCCGTCCGACCCGGCCTGCCTCGTCTTGCAGCTTGCCTTCCAGCATAGGCTGTTAGCAAGGGCATGCGCAGTGGACTCCGCGCAAATCCAGCAAGCGCGTGAGTCTCGAGGCCCAGTCTGCTGCAATGCCTTGCGGCCCCTTGTCTACGATATTACTGCCTGGCAATGATTTCTTGGTCAGTCAGGAGAATGCCCATGCATGCAAAAGGTGGAGGACATTCTGCAGTGGCGCCTGACATCCCGTCACACCAGGAGTCCCAAGGCGGGGAGCTTTGTGCTCGTTCGCTTCGGCCCGAAGAAATGTGCAATGTGTGCAATGTAGTGAGAAGATGCTGGGAAGACTATAGGGTACACACTCTAAGGTCTTGATACAGCACCTGTCCGAGATGGGCAGCTTGGACAGGCGGGGCTTGGTGTTCTGTGCAGCAGCAGGAGCGGTGCAGTCTGTGTTCTGCTGTACAGGTCCGAGTCCATTCTGGCTGTTGCTGACACGCTTAGACTGGCGCAATCTGAAAATTATGTCGGCAATTTGGCAGCGATGGGGTATGATGCCAAGCAGGTGAAGTACTTTAAATGCCCCTGGATCTGTTTATCAGCACTTCTTTGGAGTGGAGGTTTGTTTAGGAAATGCGGTCGACCGCTTTCGACCGTTTTTGAATCTCAGGCTGGTCGTGGTGTATGTTTCTGGCGAGGGCAAGAACGACACATTTCCCAGAAAGCGACGTGCGTCACATCGTCGGCACACACCTCCGAAGCCTGCTTGGGCATTGTCGCCAATGTTGCAGTGCGGATGCCTCTCTGAGCAAGTCCGCACACTACGTTCTTCGCCATTACGGCGGCGGAGGACTCCCTTTTGTGAAGCGGTTGATTGCAGAAGAAATGCTTTGCCTGATGGAAAACCTCCTGTCTGTGCCTGCGGAAATCAGCCAAGAGGACTTCATCCCGTTTATGCTGCGCACACAGCATCTGGAAGACGTGTTGCGCGCTCTGGAGAAGCCGCAACGTCAGCAGTGGGTGTCCCTGCTGGTCAGAGCCCTGCTTGGACAGAAAAGCTTCCACTCGCATTTGCTGGACGACCTGAAGCTCCTGTGGAGAGCTGATGACGATCCCAGTCGAAGCTACGCAGAAGCAGAGCAACAACTGAGGGCTTTCCGAAAGACCGTCAGCAAAGAGATGAAGCAGGAGCTTCTTGATCTCCTGACGTGTTGCTGAAAGTCTGCGTCACATAAAAAAAACGCGCTGCCGAATGCACAAAGAAGGATTTGGTTGTGCGACCGCTGCCTTCCTTAGACGTGGTAGCCAATGTTCACGTACAGCGATTGGCCTGAAGCTTTCATTTTGGGTGTTGCCCGCACCCACTCACCGTCCTCAGCAGGGGCAATCTGGGGGCACTATCTATCTGTACTGGGATGATGATCCGCTAAACCTTTGTTGTGAGCATCAAATTTGTCCAGCATGCCGGAAGCCACGCGTCCTCTACCGTACGGAGGAAGCTGGGTGGATCCAAAACTGCCTGAAAACCTGAAGCCCTTAAATCCCGGAACCACAGAGGCCCCTTGACCATGAACTAGACAGCATTGCAGCATAGGTGAAAGCCTAGCAGCGCCTCTACACCACCACGAGACAAGCTTGTTTTAGGGTTTAGGCCCAAGTTTAAGGTTCCAATTTCGGGGGCCTGACAAGGCTTTGCGTACAAGAGGTATAGGGTTTAGGGTCTAGGACGGGTATGTCTCGGAGCGGACCCTGATGATTAACAAGCCGTTTCGACATGACATTGGAGGCTTCGGAACTCTTTGTAGGTTTAAGGGTGTTTAAGGTGCTTGCGCATATGATGTCCATCTTGCACCACGCCGCTCGCGCCGCCATCTGGGCGGCTTCGCCCCCTCAAGCCTGTCGAAGCCCCGCGCTTTAGACCCTTCAGGTTTTTGGCATTCAGGTCTGTTGAGACGACCGAAGCTCGGTAGGCCTTTGGGACATTTCAGAGTTTAACCCTTAGCGGGTTTAAGAGGATCATGTCCAAAAAATTGTTTTAAAGAGGGTCTTAAGGGCCATCCTAGGAAGGGGCTAGACTAGCCACTTTGGAGGGCCCCCACAAAAAGCCCGGCGCATACAAGCACTGCACTTGCGGGGCACTGCAGTCAGCAGCATGGCTGAACCGTCTGAACCTGCCTTTTCCCGCGCGGAGAAGGCTGGGCGGGCCCAAACCCCTGAAAACCTGAAGCTCTGCACCCTGCACCAGAGGCGCCTTGGCCATGAGCCTCAACCCCAAGCGCTTCCCCTCAAAGCCGCCTGCCTGAACCCGAGGCTATAAAAAGCTCAACCCAAAAAAAGCCCTAAACCCTGACAGCCGCAATTCGGCCCGGAAACCCCTAAACTCTACAAGAAAACCTGTGCACACCCCTACGACCCCGAACCTCTACGACCCCGAACCTCCCCCGTAGACGCTTAACCCCAAAGACATCCTAAGACCTGTAGCCTTCCGAAAGGTTTGATTCCTCCTTGTAAAAGAACTCCGCCATAAAGCCAAACTGGTTTTTTTTGAATGCCCAGACCCGTTTCTTATCCCCCGAACCGCTCAGCTTCTTTGGCAAGGTCTTCGATGATGGGCGTGACTTGCGTGCCAGGAGCTCAGTTAGCAGCACACAAACCTGATCCTTCCCCGGTCCCACAGACACAACCCCATTTAAAGACCCTTTGCCAGTCCTTTTTGTAGAGCCCTAATACCCCAAAACCCTGAGACCCCTGGAAGCCCTCCAAACCTTCGTGTGGGTCTCTGGCTGAGGGGCGAAAGAAGAAGGCCTCTTCTGCAACGGTCCTTTCGAGGGTTTGGCTCCTTTTGGCCCTGTCTTTGGGGTGTCAGGTTATCTGTTTCAGGGGGATTTTGTTGTGCCGGGGGGCTTAAGGGCGGCTTCGGGTGACCCTGACCGAAACCTACACCTCCATCGATGCTAGACGCCAGGCCGTTCAACTCTCAGGGCCCACGGACGCTCTTGGAGTCTGTTCGGGGGTGCGGTTGCCTAATTTCCATTGAACTTACAACACAAAACAAGACCAAGACCTTGTGGTGAAGTAAAAATCCATTGGGTTGTTGTAGAATTCCATGGGATTGAAGTAGAATTTACTTGGATTGTACAAGATTTAAGACCTTTTTGTTGTGAAATTGAACTTGGCCAAGTGGAAATTAGGCCTAGCTCCTTATAAGAGCAGGTTGTTTGCCTTTTTGAGTTGTGAAATTGAAAGAAAATCAACAACAGCATATCAAGGTATTGGTTCATGTCCATCATCCTTATGGCTTTCAGCCATAAGGATAATGGACAGCCATACGGATTGTGGACTTGAACCAATACCTTGACCGAATGAGTACCAAAACTATCATTATTAGAATCCTTGCACTTTGTGGAAAACCATGGTTTTGGGCCCTTTTCCTGGAAATTGTTTGTGGGGTTGAGCAGAGCAAACAAGGGGGGATCCTAAAGCCTTCGAGACCAGAAGCCATCCTTCGACAGGAGTGGCTGGAGACGGTCTTGAGCAACCAGCCAGGTGACTACAAGATGATCAGCAAGTCAAAGGCCGCTCTCACTGCTGTATACCCTTTTCGGAATTGTTTTTTATTTTGTTTATATAAAACCCAAGAGGATACTAACAACATTATTGTTTTAAAGGTTCTAAGGGGAGTATAGACTGCGCGTTGGGTTTTAGGGCTTCAGGGGTTTTTAGGGTTCAATGGTTTTGGGGGCTTCAGGGTTTGGGGTTTGAGGGTTTGAGGGTTGAAGGGTTTTGGGGTTTCAGGGTGAATATTTTAGGGTTTTAGGGTTGTCGTGTGTTTTGGCTTGGGGGGGGTTGGAGGTTCTGCAGGGTGTCTTGTCATGCATATGCCCCCCCCCTCGCCTCTGACCCCAAACCCCAGCCCCAAATCCAACCCCCCTACTTCACCACTACCCGGTCACTACTCATAGGGTTAAGGGCTCAGGGTCCAGGGTTTCAGCTTTAGGGTCACAAATCTCCACCACGAGGAGCAAGCTGTCGCAGTGGCCCGCCCACGCTTGCAGGAGCGGAGCCCCTGGTTGCGTGGTTGAAGATCAAGGGCTTAAGGGTTCTTCGACTTTGCCTATCTATCTTTCGCTAGCTGAGCCTGCCGTTTCCGATTTAGGGTTTTGACATTTTGGGAAGGGGGGGAGGGGGCGGGGAGGGGGGGGGAGGGGAGGGGGAGGGGGGGGGCGGCATTTAGCAAGACATCAGAGGGAACTCAGATCTGCCGAAGCGATTTGCACTGCATCGTCAGTGATCTTTGTCTTTCCATTGCTCCCTCTTGCATTTTATATACCATTCCATACCATAGTATGCTATTGTACTTCTGGGTAGATCCTGGCCTTTGGTGTAAGAAGGAAGCGGCGTGGCAGTCGGAGATCCAGGCAAATGGCCCTGAGGGGCCACTTTCAGGGGGGTTTGGGTGGGGTTTAGAGTTGAGGGTTTTGGGGTCTGGGCTGGGGCTTTGGATGTTTTAGGGTTTGGGGTTTGGGGTTTGGGTTTAGAGTTTTAGAGTTTTGGGGTTTTGGGGTTTTGGGGTTTTGGGGTTAGATTTAAGGGGATTTGGGGTGTAGACGTGAGGTGCTTCTGGGGGTTGGGGCTTCCAGATCTCCCGGATCTCAGAGTTCGACTGAATTAGGGTTTAGGGTTTAGGGTTTCTAGGGAATGATGGAAGTAAGTGCCTGCTGTTGGAGAATGACACCCCGGAACCACCCCCCGCGCCGCAACAAGCAATCAAGTAAACCCTAAACCCGAAGTCAGGCCATTTTGATTTTATTCTCGTCTCCGTGCAAGATCCCAAGCCTTCTAGCCGCTAGCCCTCGGAACCCCGCAAAATCCCTTAGCCCGGAAAATCCTCAAAAACCTTAAAACCTTAACGCCCTAATTTCAACCCTAAACCCCAAGACCCTAAACCCCAAAAAACCCAAACCCTAAAAAGCCTGTCTAAACCCTACCGAAAACCTAAACCCGAAAAGCCCTGAAAATCATGTGCGGATGTGATCTTTGAGGGCAAAAACACGTGCGGACATGATCTTTGCGGCAAAACCATGAGTGCACGGATATGATCTTTGAGGTCATGTGCGAACATGATCCAGAAACCGTGTGCACATGTGATCCCCTCGCCCTGGAAAGCCTGCCATCCCCTCAAAGCCCCAAAGTCTTAGGACCCTAGACCCTAGAGCCTTAGACAAACTGCAAAAGCCCTACACCCCAAACCCCCAGCCCTAGCCGTTCTTCACACCAAAGCTGGAGAACGGCTTGCGCCCAAAGCCCCTGTATCCCGAAAGCCTCCCCAACGAATATGAGCCCCAACATCCTGGATGTGTTTCGGCCTTGCGCGCAGGAGAAGCTACGCAACGGTTGCTGCGAATTGAAGGCCCCCTCGAATCTTTGAAGTACACCCAATGGGGGTTGTTCTATGTTCTGGGCCTCTTTTTGGTACCTAAACTATAAGGAATATGCTTAGAACTCGGGACATCAGTTAGAACAATAACCAAATCGAGAAAGGCTTGGCCCTTGGAATCATTCACTTGCTCTTTCTGCTTCCCGAGCGTAAACCCTAAACCCTAACCTCCCCAAAAACGGTAAAGAATACTGATCCCTGTATTGCCCTTAAGGAAGATTCTTCTATTTTATGGGGGGTGGTTCTTACACATAGTAGTGAACCCCGATGCACGAGAGATCTGTGTTCTGCATCTTCAAACAGTAAGTCGTGCGACTGAACTGTATGTGTGTAGTAGCCGTGAAGAACCAGAAGCTGGTTGAATTTCAAGTTGCATAGAGGGCTTAAGTTTGAGTCAACACACAATACCGCCGCCCTTGATGGCAGCTTTGAGAGCCGCTCTTTTGCCCTGGAGGTTCCGATCCTGCACCTTCAAAATGGTCACTGAATAGCAACCCTAAACCCCAAACCCCAAACCCTAAACCCCAAACCCTAAACCCTAAACCCCAAACCCCAAACCCCAAACCCTAAACCCAAACCCTAAACCCTAAACCCCCTATAAACCCTCCCTCTGCGAGGCGAGGAGCAAGAGGGCGCCTCGGACAGGAGAAGGCTCACAGGTTTGGCCAGGCCTGGAGCCTTCCTTTTAGGGTTTAGGGTTTAGGGGGTTTAGGGTTTACGGTTTACGGTTTAGGGTTTAGGGTTTAGTAGGGTGTAGGGCTTGGGGCTGAGGAATCAGCAT